GCTCAGAATAAATGGAATTCCTTGTGGGGTAAGTGCTGATGTGTCACCAGTAGAAAGTTAGAAATTTTGATTCAAACCAAAACCACATATATTATATTCTTAGATATCATAGTAATAGAAATTCAGAACACTTTTTCAATTTTAGTGGTTGGATTTTTTCTACACATATTTTTTTATGTCAGTTCCTTGGGAATATGAGTACAGCTCTTGCCATAGTGGTGTTGAGATCTCATTCTTTAAAAAAATGAAGTCTAATAAATCCAGTGTGCCCAGGAATATTAAAACAAACAAAAAATATTATAAACTGACTGATGATGTTTTAAATGAGCACATATGCAGTGTGTTGGCTACAATATGCTGAAGGAAGCTGAAGTGTTGCCTCCCATGATGCTAAACAAGTCACTACTGCTGAAGAAGGGACATTTGGTCCAGAGGCAGACCTGCTGTAGATGATATGTTTAGGACACAGATCCAAGAGTCCTTTTGAGAAATAGAAAACTCCTCAGCAGCACCAGCGTTGCCTGTTTGGCTAATGAATGTGCAGTACTTGCAAATGAGTAGTGATTTGCTTTGAATTAAGGCATGGAGAAAGCCAGTGTATTGATAAAGCTTTCAAAAGGTGCCAGAGAAATGAAAAAACATCTTTCAGCAGTTACCTGAATTTATGACAATAAGAGGGGGATAAAAACCAAAATAATTTCATTTTCTCTTTCACAAAGTACTTCTACTTTTCTCCCAAGAACAACCCGATCCTGTTTGTGCTATGTAAGGCCCCAGTGACATTGCACTTCTCCACAGTTCCCTTTTTCCTTTGTTTGCCTTTGAAACATTTTCAGGGGTACTGATAGTTTAAACCCATACAGAGCACAAAAAGAACTCACATTTTTATGATACAAACAATTTTATTATATATAAAGTATCACAATGTTAATTCTAGAGGAAATCCATTCATTTTATTTATTATTATGGCAAAGACTGATGATCTTTCTTTGGGGTAAAACAACAGAACAGGGTCCACCTTTCAGTGATGGCCTCTATTAGAAACTGCTATGAAATGTTAGATAAGAGGTAAGAACAGAGCCTGTGCTATCAATCTTTATATCAGTTATAGATTTTACTGAAGCAGAATGCCAGCAGGACTGTCTTGCACTGTGAGGCTGCTTTGGGAAGGCTGTTCCAGCAGTTCCCTCTAACAGGAGCAGAGGGAGCTGAGTTTCAGGGCTGAGCAGAGCCTGGTGTGCCGTCTGGGCTGTGCTGAAGCAGCCTCTAGCTGCAGCCACAATGGTCCAGAGCAGCTGGAACAAACCAAGGCAGGTGTTCAGAGGCTGCAGTTTCAGTTTCCATGGGAACACAGACTGGCTCCTCACAGAAGGCAAGGTGATTTCAACATTTTTAATGGGTATGATTTGGGATAATTTACAAGCCCCTGGCATTTCCTACATGGAAATGTGGAGATCCATTCATATGGAATTAGAACAGTGGGCAGAGCTCAGCTGCTGAATCAAGTCTGTTTTAGCCATGGTTTTCCTCTGGCAGTGGTTTCCTTGCTGCTCTGTCCCCAGGCTGTGGGGCTCAGTTGGACACCAGGAGCTGTTGGAGTTTGGACATGGCTGCGCTGAAGCCATAGTTTGAAGCTGTGTCTCAGATGTAATGATTCCAGAGGCTGGGAAGGACTGCACCAGTGCCTTCCAGTCTCCACTGGCATTTGCCAAACCAGCATTCTAAGGGATCACAATATACCTGAGGACTTCTCAACAGTACAACCAGCTCAACATTGGGATTATCTGAGTTTTCAGCATTTCTTTGTCTTCTGCCTTAATACTTCCCACAGACTCCCTCATACTCTTCCTTTGTAGAATAAAAGGTTTACTGTCTCCTTGATCAGACCCCCCAAAATCAGAAACATTTCCTCTGAAGAATGTCTTGCTTGGTGTCCTGGATGAGCAAAAAATGTTTGTAGATGCTATTTTCATATTTTGCCTGCTGTCAAATCAAACCTGCCACCCAAATCCCTGATAAAAAGCTTTGCTCAAAGTAGTTTATCATTAAAAATTAAATGAAACTTCCATTCTAAAGAATGAGAAGATTTGAGGGCTTTTAAAACAGTTTTTTTTTTTTTAAAAGTCAAGACTTATCCTTTTTACTACAGAATGGATTCAAATGGTACATTCTGCTGCCAAACAATTTAATTACTGGGGGAAAACCCTCAGGAAGTGTGTTCTTGGCGTTATCAAACAGAACACCTGATTTTTGACCTCTAAGAGCAGTGGTGGAAGGAGATGCAGCAGCTGTCAGGGAAGAGTTCCACTTAAGGCTCCTTGTTGACACTGTTGGATTTCTGAGTGAGCCTGTCAGGTCAGGCTGAAATCCCTTTAATGCTGGAGACAGGAATGTGACAAAACACACCAAGGCTGATGACACACCAAGGCAGCTTGGGTCGGGCGCAGCTCTCCTGTGTGGCTCTGACGGTCTGTGTGGTTATCCCTGATGGGCCAAGCCAGTAGCTGCTCGTGTCCTCGCCGGCCTAGACCCGCTCCCCAGCAGTCTGCACCAGCCCAGTTCCATAATTAAGGTCATTAGTTGTGTTTCAGTTATCAGATTGGGATAATGGATAACTGTGAGGCCTTTGGGCCAGCTGTTAGCCACCACAGCCTTGATGTCCTGTTCCTGTGTAGAGCAGAGGGGATACAGAATTGTGTCCCTCTTCTAAAGCCCTGCAAGGCACAGTGCCTCATGGACATAACCCAGCACCACTGGGACCTGGGGGCAGGGACCCAAATTGACCCAAATCGACCCAAATCTACTTCATCACAGCCGGGCTCAGCCTCACACCAGCTACTCTGGCAACTCATCCAAGTACCCGAACTGGAGAGCTGCTCTGGGCTGTTCTGAGGAGCTCACCCACAGCACAGAGTGAACTGCCCGTGCTGATGGTGTTGGAGACAGCATCCCTGAGGGCTGCTGGGAGGTGAATGTGCAACACCAGGGCTCTTGGGTGGGATGGATGCAGGCACAGAGCCCAGCCTGAGGTTCAGTCAAATAATTGGCTTTGTGGCTGGAGGCCAAACTAAAAATAACAAGAAAGTAGCATAACATTTAGAGGGCTAAAACACACTTGGTGCATTTTTATGAACCCCAACAGCAGCAAAGATGGTTTCAAAACACAGCTGTAACTTGAATATATTTACATGAAACATTTATGTTTGGAAGGACTGAGATAAAACACATCTTTTTTTAAAAAAAAGATCATTTTCTTTTTGGATACAGATCAAGTATGACTAGTGTCCATGCCCTGAAAATACATTTTTTCAAGGAATTTTCCCTTCTAGAAGAAAGTTTCACTCCTTTCTCCTCAACACTGTCTGCAAGTGAATCTTGCAATTTCTCCTCCCACTCTCATGCAGTGATGCTTTCTCCCTGGCTGCATCTCTGACCTTCCAGACTCTCATCTGCCCTCCTCTGCTTGCACTTCATTTTCCCTCACAAAGTCCCTGCGCATTCCCTGTCTTCTTCAGACCATCAGGAAGGAACCTGGTAAATTCATTTAAACACCAGCTACAAATTGCCCACGGAGTGAGTAGGGGTAACTGCAGCCCCCAGCTGCTGCAGAGCTCTGAGCAGAGCCCCGAGTCCTGCTGGAGCCCAGGGAAGTTGCAAGGCTTCCCCACCCCGGAATGATCTGCCCGGGGGCTGCTGCTGGGGGGCAGCAGGAAAACAGCACCCAGAGCAGTGTCAGACAGGCAGATGGAAATCAGTAAGTCCTGATGTGTTCTTGGTGTGGACAGACAGCTTTCACAAAGGCAACCACCACAGGACTATTTTCCTTTCCTTTCCTTTCCTTTCCTTTCCTTTCCTTTCCTTTCCTTTCCTTTCCTTTCCTTTCCTTTCCTTTCCTTTCCTTTCCTTTCCTTTCCTTTCCTTTCCTTTCCTCTCCTCTCCTCTCCTCTCCTCTCCTCTCCTCTCCTCTCCTCTCCTCTCCTCTCCTCTCCTCTCCTCTCCTCTCCTCTCCTCTCCTCTCCTCTCCTCTCCTCTCCTCTCCTCTCCTCTCCTCTCCTCTCCTCTCCTCTCCTCTCCTCTCCTCTCCTCTCCTCTCCTCTCCTCTCCTCTCCTCTCCTCTCCTCTCCTCTCCTCTCCTCTCCTCTCCTCTCCTCTCCTCTCCTCTCCTCTCCTCTCCTCTCCTCTCCTCTCCTCTCCTCTCCTCTCCTCTCCTCTCCTCTCCTCTCCTCTCCTCTCCTCTCCTCTCCTCTCCTCTCCTCTCCTCTCCTCTCCTCTCCTCTCCTCTCCTCTCCTCTCCTCTCCTCTCCTCTCCTCTCCTCTCCTCTCCTCTCCTCTCCTCTCCTCTCCTCTCCTCTCCTCTCCTCTCCTCTCCTCTCCTCTCCTCTCCTCTCCTCTCCTCTCCTCTCCTCTCCTCTCCTCCCCTCCCCTCCCCTCCCCTCCCCTCCCCTCCCCTCCCCTCCCCTCCCCTCACCTCCCCTCCCCTCCCCTCCCCGCCCCTCCCCGCCCCTCCCCTCCCCTCCCCTCCCCTCCCCTCCCCTCCCCTTTTCCTTCACCCCAAAAATGCGAGTGAATATTTAAAACCAGGTATTTAAGAATGCTTAAAACATCCTAAGGAGGTGAACAGAGGCAACCTCGCCTGGAGGACAGGTGCCTTGGAGAGGGTTTCAGGGAAGCTTTAGAAGTGTTCCCCTGTGCTCAGGTATTTGCAGCTGTGTTATAACAACTGGAGGAGCTGATTTGGGGAGCTGCCTGAAATACCTGGTGTCAGCAGTGTGCTGAGTGTCGTCCGGGTGCTGCTGCTTCACTGGTGTGTGAAGCTTTGCTCAGGTCCTGGTGCTAACAAATTCTTAACTCTTCTTTTTGAAGACTTTGGATTTTACTTCTAAATTTCACGTCTTACATATTCATATAAACATTTATGTGAGGGCATGCAAATCAGGAGTGTTCTCTACATCAGCATCCAGGTATCTAAATGTGTGCAGACACCTGCACACTTCTCAGGGTTCTTAATTTAACCTGAGTCCTGAAAAGCCTTTTCAGCTGCAAAATGCAGCTTTGAGCTAAGTTTCCTGTGTGCAAAGGCATGGGCCTCTGCCAGCCCCAGAAAGTGCTGCAGAAATGGGGCACCTATCTTTGTTTAGCTTCTTTTTCTTTGCAAGACCACAGCATTAGAGAATAACTTGTCTCTATGTATTGTTCTGGTTTCTTTTGCACTGTGATTGTTTTCTCTCTTCCTTCAGCTGATCAAATCATATCACTGAACTTAGTGCCTTTTTTTTCCCCTCTATGTTTTTTCTGTCCATTCACACACACCCATGGCAAGGAGCAGCCTGACACCATTTGACATCTCCTTGCTTCCTCATTTCAATATTAACTGTTTACCAGAAGAGAAACAGGTTTGGGGTGCGGGTGCTGAGCACTTGCCTGTCTCTGTGTGTGAGCAGCAGCTCTTTTGCCCTCTGTCCCTCACAGCCACAGGTCATTTCTCTGAGCTGCCTGGAACAGCCCCATGCTATTGGCACCAGCCTGACTTCAGGAGGGACAGGTCTGTGGATGTGCTGCACTCTCTGCTTGGGCTGGGGTGCAGTGACGAGGCTCAGAGCTGTGCCTGCTACTGTTCTCACTCCACAACGGACTTGCTGAAGCACTCCTACTCCTCCGCAGAGCAATAATAATGACCCAGCTGCAGTTTAAAGATGCTTTTTGGGTAAGTGAGCATTTACTATGTGTTTCCTATATTCAATGTACCTGTGTTTTAAAAATTTTAAAATACAGCTTGGTTCTGTATATAGTTTAAAACTAATTTAATGCTGTTCTGTGTTCTCAATTTAGTTTAGTGAAAATCCAAATTTGTCTCCAAGCAAAAACATAGTGTTTGGTAGTATAAGTGTTTGATCCTGGGCAGAAGGATGCAGTGTAAAGAATATATCCAGTCTCCATGAAACCACTGACATTCACAGGTCCTGTACTAGGGCCAGAAACCTCTTTTGAAAGGGACATGGATTTGTCTGTCACAGTGCTAAGAACCTGCTTGCAGTGAGTGTCCTCAGCTCTATGAGTGGCTCCCAGAGCAGGTGAGCTGTTGCTAATTATAGGCTGAATTCCCTCCTGTTTGGTGAAGAGCAGAGCCAGCAGTTGTGAGCAAAATTCTCCTGCTCAGCTCCCTCCAGGGTCCCTCCCTGCTGCCAGGAGTATTCCCAGGCATGCAGAGCCCAGGAGCTGTGAGGCAGCAAGGCAGCACAGGTTAGAAAGGACCATCAGTGCCACTCCACAGCTAAGCCCAAACTCACAGCTGAGTTTAGTATTTGCTAAAACCAGCAAATACTGAAACAAGGAGATCCGCTCCATACTTGTTATTTGACTTTTGTTTGAAAATCCTTTTGGTCTCCTGTTTTCAAGCTCTTTCCCTGCAGTTACAAGGTAAAAGGACCTTAGTCATTTCTCTATGATAATCTGAGGTTCTCTTGCAACTGGAGAATGAAAGTTCAAAATCAAAATTCTAACATTGCAAAGTTAAGTAAACAGGATGTTATGTGGTTGCCTCTTTTCTGGGCAATCATTTATCCAGCATTGAGCACTGACCTAAAGAAAGACATGAAGCTATGCATTCTTCCTGCCATTGCCTGGCTGTTCTTTCTGCTTGTGGTCTCTTTCTCTCCACCCACGCTTCAGGGTAAACCCTCACTTGGTAGAAAACAGAAGGGCAGAGGCAAAAACACATTTCAGTGAACCACCATTCTCTGGGCACTTCCAAGAAGCCTTCCCCACCCCCACTGCAGTACTAAGTTTGAACAGTTAAAAAGAATAAAAATACAATGAGGAAATATGAAAGTCGGTGTTGATGTTAGGACTGACTGTGCATGACCACACCTATGTGAGATTCTCCTTTGTGCACCCACTGACTGCACAGTGCAGTGCACAGGGTGGGACACAGCTGTGGGCCAGTGCTACCCTGGGAGCTTCAGCCCGTGCATTGCTGAACTTCCTTGGAAAACAAGACACCTGTTTTAGAGCTGCTACATTTGGCATAGTTACTTTTCAATGCCTTGGTCTTTAGGGAGAATAAAGCTATGGGAGTAGTGTGAGTGTGATTAATGCCAGCTGACGATCTAGCCAGGCTGGTTCTTCATGGCTCTTCTTCCCTAAACTTCTCTTCTGTGCTTAGTCACATTGCCATGACTCAAACCCTTGTTTAGCTTTGAAGCTAACACCTTATTTAAAGGAAAGCATCTTTGGATTTCTTTTTCTTTGTCTGGATGTATTGCCCAGCTTGATTAAGAGGGCAGGAATGTATCTGGTTGCAGGATAGAAGCTTTAGCTGTACAGTAAGTCTTTAAAAGTGAAAACTTACAGGATATTACACAACACAGCACAAGTGTGCAGCATGCCCCCCAGATCACAAGATCAGCAAATATTTTTGCATTCATAAGGTTCTGTTGTGAGAGGAAAATGTATTCATGTGGTTTGCTTCAGCAAGCAATTATCTCCTGTATTTGGTCTGTGCACTGAACAGAAACTGCCTTTCTGATTGACACCCAAAAGGTGTTTGCCCTGTGGTGGGTGCCTCAACACCCTGATCTCTGATTGCTGCGCCCACTCCCTGTGCTTCGTGTCCCTGAACACCAGCTCCCTGCTCCACCATCAGGAAACTTTTGGATAAGCAGGGGTTTCCTCAGGACCTACCTCAATGTAAAATATATAAAGAAACCCTAAAAGCAGGAGATCTCCCCCACCTAGCAGAGAAAGAGCACCATTCATCCCTCCCCAAAGTTCTCCAGACTTCATAGAACAGGGTGTGCTGTCTTCCAAGAAAATTGTTCCTCATAACAGGTTTAAGTTTTATCCTCTCTTTCCAAATAAATGTAGCAGTGATAGTACTGTACTACTTTGTTCGATTTTATTCCAAACTTAGTTCAATTTTATCTTCTTTGTAGCATGGTCTGTGCAAAAACCTGTGTATTTTTTAATTACAGTTTTTATTTCTATATACTCCACATTCTCTTTAATGGTTTAAGGGACAGTTGCTCAGAGTCTGCACTAAAATGTGCTTCTTAGCAGAAGTTCTCTATCCTCTGATAATATTTTTTGGGAAATGTTAGTGAGATGGAAATTCAGATCAAGTTTGATAGCCAGTGCAAGGCAGTTGCTGATGGATTAATATTCTCCTGGGCTGCTGTATGAGCCTGACAGATGTTACCTGTCCTCTCTAGCATCATATAAGACAGGTAGGGAAATTCCTATGTTAATGGGGGAGTGTTTGTGTGGCACCAGCCGAGTTCCATGTTAATGGGGTTGTGTTAACAGGCAGAGCAACAGTCATTGTTTTTGTTACAAAAAACACTATCCAATAAAATCTTTTCCCCTCAGTCACAGAGTGTCTTTCTGAGATTCATTCTCTGTTCTTGCACTCATTGTTGCTTTTCCTTAGTAATTTCTGTCATTGCCTTTTCCTTCTATTTAGTTTCCCTCCAGCCTGCTGCTCAAAACTGCAGCTGCAGCCCCTGAAATGCAGGTGTTTCTGGCCAAGAGATAGGAAGTTACTGGCACCACTTCCTGGCTTTGCCATACCCACCTGGGAACGGGGGATGAGGAAAACTTCCAAAGGAGCTGGTTGGTTTTGTGACAGGCTCCAAAGTGCCCAAAATTGAGTGGGAGCAAATCTATTCCCTCATACAGCTTTGACTCAAACTCAAGCAGCCAAGTCAACTCTGAAAATGTGTCATGGGCTTCTAAGGTGCTTAGGATTTAAAAATAAGTGCTTGAAGTGTGAAATGCTTGCTCCTTCTTAGCTGTGGGATGAGCTCGGGGCATGTGAATTCTCACAGCTCACATATAAAAGTGTGGAGGAGATGCAGGCCAGCAAAATGAAGCAGGCAGGATTTGCTCCCCTGCCCTGCTGTGAGCTGATCCTTTCATATCCCTGCCTGTGGACCCATGGTTGTGGTCAGACACTGCAGCAGTGGGAGCTATGGAAGTGCTCCAGGAGCAGGGACTGTTACAAAGATGCTTAATGTCTCTTGCTTTGACTTCTGGCTATGTTCAACCTCAGGTTCAGTGTGAAGGTGACTTTGTAGATGAGCCTCTGAACTCCTACTCTAGCTTTTTCACACAATGGTCTGTTATATATACCAAAAAAAGATGTAATTAGCATCACAAATAATTTAGCTTCTGATGAGACTCTTAACTGTGGAACAAGAGCTCCGTGGTGATAAAAGTCACAGTAAAGCTATTTCCTAAACTTATTAAGCAACGTGCTGAAGAAATACAGCATCAATTGTTTTACTCAATATAGGAAGTTTTTTTTTATAGCAGGAGCTACCCTGCTTTCCTGTAGAGGTTGAGCTTTGCAGGGCCCATGGTTTTGCAGCAGGTATGTGAGGAGGAAGTGATACTGGGCAGGTTTGCTGGGAGGAACTGGAGCTGGGGAGGCTCCTGCCAGCCCAGCACCCCGAGGCTGAGCTCAGGCAGGCAGGGATGAGGCTGGCAAACCTTCCAGCCTGGCATCCCAGCTTTGCAAGTGGGTCCCACCGAGTTTAATTTGAATGGCATGGCACCAGTTGCATCTGAACCTATTGACACAAGGCAGGTTAAGATAAATCATCTCCCTGCACAACAGTACACAGGTGGGCTCTGCTGTCCTGCAGCTCTCTGAGCTCCAGAGGTATGGCCATGGTCCTGCACTCCCTGAGCTCCAGAGGCAGAGGCATGGCCACAGTGCTGGTCACATCCAGGCCAAGTCATCGCTGCAGGATGTGTGGAAATGGGGAATAAAGGGGAAACCAGCTTGGAAAAGCTGGACTGGTTGCCCAGCTGATGTCTGTGTTTGTTGTGAGATTGACTTCATCCCCCCAGAACAAGCTGCTCAACTCTTTTTTACATGTAATTTCTTCTGCCATTTCCCCAACTGCTCTGGGAAGGGCACTTGGCTCCCTGAGGCAATGAGAAGCACCCGTGGAGGGTGGAGGAGGGGGCAGTCACAACAGTCATTGAAACCAGAGGAAATCACAAGTAGAAAACCTGAGCAGTCATTGTGGCTATGGAAACACTGGTGCTTCACAAGTCACTTCTGAGCAGAGCACAACAGCTAAAATGAAGCTCAAATGAACTAACATTAGATGAATGGATTTACAGAGAGTTCATTGTGGGTCAGTGACTGAAATAGACAGTCAAATACACTTTATTACAATTTTCTGATGACTGTGTTGCAGCTGAGGGGTTTGACTATTAAAGTTGGTTGATCAATTAATTAAGTCACTGTGACAACTCTGTTAATATTTTTACACAGCTGTATCTGGTTTGTTTTGATCCATTCTGCTCTGCAAAAGTTGGTTGGTTTTACTTGGGCTCAGGGAAGGGGAAGATTCTTATTTCTGCCAATTTTAAGTGTGCCATCTGTATTTTAAATATGGAATAGGTGAGTCATGGACTCTCTGCCCACATGTACACAGCTACGTCTAACCAACACCACTAAGAGTGTCACACCCAGCTTGAAATGGAGCCTCACGCAGAGATCAGAGGCTGTTCTCTGGCTTGTTAGAGCAGCCCACTGAAGTGGATTTTCTGAGGCAGAGTCACACAATGGCCGAGGCTGGAAGGGGCCTCTGGACATCTCCAGCCAAGCCTCGCCCTGCACAGGGCTGGCCCAAGCTCAGAGTATCTCCACAGATGGAGACTCCACAGCCTCTCTGGGCAAACTGATAACTGTGT